GTCTGGGTAGTGCACAGCCTCCATTTACCAATGCCCTTGAGAGTTTTTTTTTTTTAATCATTTGACCCCAGGCAAGCTGATAATGCCACTAGAATGCAGGGATTTACAGGGAGAGAAAGTGAAAGAGAACACAAAGATTGAAAATGGGAAGGATTGAAGAAAGGAAGAAAAAGGAACAGGCTTCAAGAAGATGGTGACTGATGTTGCATTTTAAATTTTTAAAGATTGTAGTTATCAGAATCCTTTTCTCCCCCCCCCCCCAGCTATGTAGTTATCAGAATCCTTTTCTCCCCCCCCAGCTATGTAGTTATCAGAATCCTTTTCTCTCCCCCAGCTATGTAGTTATCAGAATCCTTTTCTCCCCCCCAGCTATGTAGTTATCAGAATCCTTTTCTCTCCCCCCCAGCTATGTAGTTATCAGAATCCTTTTCTCCCCCCAGCTATGTAGTTATCAGAATCCTTTTCTCCACCCCCACCCCCAGCTATGTAGTTATCAGAATCCTCTTCCTCTCCCCCTCAGCTATGGGTAAATAGCAGAACAGACTGGGTTCTATAGCCTTGGATGCCAACTGGTCTACCATAGCAACCTACTGCGGGAAAAAATTTGTCGCTTTCTGTTATTTAAATGTTTTCAAAGATGTTTTAACAAATGTTATATTCTTCTCTTTAATGTATAATATATATGTTTATTATGTATAATATATGTTTATATATTTATATGATGTATAATATATACCTTTATTATGTATAGTATATACATAATAATTATTATATTATTAGTGTATTATGTATCGAAAGATACATGATCGCCTAAGAATGTATCATGCATGGCACATAACTGACTGAGTTATTAGAAAAGCAAGAAATCAGATGGAAGTTCCACAGGTGAGAAGTGCGAGGAAAGAAGTTGTTAGAGTAGAGGTGATAGTTGCATCTAGGTAGGTCAGCAGTAAAATAGTGGGTGTATTTGCCAATCTAGTAGCATGCTTAAATTCATGTAGTCGTAGCACCAGGGACAAAAAGCTAATCAGAGCTGTTGCCATGAAAATATTTGTAGAAAAGGCAGAGGGAAGCCACATTGCATTGGTGAGAAAGAGACTGAAGTTGAATTGCCTGGTCAAGATTGATTACATTAGAGATCCTTCTTTATACAGCAGGAGCACCAGATCAGCTATGCCAACAGTATTTAGTGTATGGATGGTTGGCAGATTTATAAATAGGCAAGATCGATTCTTATGACAAAAATTTTCTCCAGTCTCACTGTGGAACGACTGAATTTGAACATTGCATAACACTATCTTTATCTTGTGAAATAAACAGATAACTACTAAAAAAAAAAAAAAATTAGTTTTATCTCTTTCTTTCAGATTTTATGCATTTTTAAAAAAAATTTGCTTAGCCTTGATTCGAGATGGATCGAATGATGTTTGAGAATTAATAAATATCCGAGATTTTTATTATTATTATTATTATTCCACCTCTGAGGCACCCCGCCCCGATATTAGGCTAGTTTAGGTTTTTTTATTTTGAATCTTTAGTTTCCCGTTTTCTGGTTAACTTAGCTAGGGTATGCATGCTCATTGGCCCCTTTTATTTCTGTCCCTATTTTTCTTTTGTTTAATTCCCCATCCCCTCCCTCGTTAGGTGGTCAGTGATGTCAGTTCTCTGGTTGTTGCGGGATGACTTTTGTTTTCGTGTGTGTGTTTTCGTATTTGTTATTGTGTCTAAATGAGTGCGTGTTTGTGGGCATGCTTGTGGATATTATAATCCCGCAATTATTTCGTCCAGTTAATGTTTCTGCCACATTTAGGGATTGTGGTTTTTTTTATTACTAACCCTATTTTGTTTTGTTTTTATGTAAATAGTGTTAAATCATATTGTAAATAATCATTGGGGTTTTTTAAATTGTTGTTTTTTATCCTACCCCCACCCCAGACTTTGAAATGTACATATGGGGACTAGTTAGGATTTCATAGAGAATTTCTTACTGCATCCACAATGGTGGACGCAGTAAGAAAGGTAGGAGTGAATGCATTGTTTTGGTGATAGGAATATTGTTGGTATGTTTGGGTCCATGTCTGTGACTAGCTAAGTTTAGAATTAAGACAGAAGAAGACCGTCCTTCCCCAACCCCCTTTTCGGCCTTGTGCCACATTTTGTACAAATTGTACAAATAAATAATTATTCCACCTCTGAAATAACATGAACTCTTTTTCCTGTTTTCTCTTTTCTTTTTTAGACTGATGAAGATGACAGGTATTTAATACAGCCAGATGAGATCTACAATGAGTCAGTTACATACGATCCTCATAAGGGCTACTCGCTGAACTTCTTTCCACGAACCAAAAGCAACTGGTATCAGGCACCTCTGGTGATGGTACAGTTTAACACCCTACGACCAGGGACACTGATCAACGTCCAGTGTACAGTATGGGCTAATTACAAGAACAGTACAACTATTATCCAGTCAACTACATCATTCAAAATTCATATGAACTAAAGCAAAATGATGACTTTAATATCGGAAATAACAGTACAGCTGTAAAAAAGCAGAGAAGAATACTGTTGACACATAACAAATGGTATAAAGGTGAATTTTACCGTAATTTTTGTGGAGTTTTAAAGATTATAAGGGTGGCTTTCAGAACATGAAAGTGTTGATAATTTTTCTTTGGATATTGCTTGGCGAAAGGTTTCTTGAATAAGTCTTCTTGTTTTGGCATCGTTCTCAAAACGGATCCATTAAGCAGTAACATAGAATAGGACTTTATTCGTATTTGTAGCAATGAGAGTAGATTAAGAGCACTAAATTGTACTTAATAAAAAGTTTCATGAAGACTGAGAGGTATGCATTTGCTTTCAAATCCCTAAAAAGAAAAAAAAAAATGGATTTTGTAATTTAAAATATAAATCACTGTTTTTGTCTGATACTTTGAAATTGAATCGATTTATTTTTGAGGCTGTTTTAATCTTTATTTCTTGTCTATAACTAACATTTTTCATAATTTATAGTTCAGCTTTTGAGTCCAGCATTGAATCCTGGGATGTTCTTGATAGGCTTTGTACTAGTTTTTTTACTGGATTATGTAACCTTTGTTTTATTTTTTTTTATTGTGCTTTTTAGAGACAATCTAAATAAACTACATATTGTTTATATAACATATATCATGCATCACTTGACACCAGACACCTGAAGAAGAAAAATTAAAAAGAAAATATACATATTAAAAAAAGTCCTTAAAAAAGTTAATGAATTATTATCCAGATGTTTCTTTGAAATCGGCTCCGAATACTACATTCTCTACATAGACACATTCACAAGATAATTATGACTCAGGAAAAAAATTATGTATTATCTCCCTTGACTAAGTTAATCAAGGGAGATAATATTTCAAACATTTGCAGAAACTCTAGTACAGTGGTTCCTAACTGATTTTGGGCCATGCCTCACTTTGGTATTTCTAAATTTCTGGTGACTAACCACTGCCTCGTAATATCCTACACATGCCCCACCATTGGAACATGCACCCCCACATTGGAAATCATTGCTCTAGTGCAATGGACTTTACCTTGAAGTAATATTGAAAATGTATTCTTAATGGTAAAGACTGAAATTATGAGAAATTCTGCCAAATTTTTTCTTTAGATCAGGAATATCATGATGTTATTATCTCAAAATAAACAAAATAAAATTTACTAGCAGTTATTTTACTGCTAGTAAATTTTGAAGAATTTCTATTTTGGGCATTAGTTAAATTGGATGGCCCATTTGTAAAAAAATATACAGGAAGAAACAAAATTGTAGATTAACATAACCTTTATTGACAACATTTTTAGAATCAAATTTTAAAGTTTATCAAATAAGAATCTTCATAAGAATAAATTCTTTTCAACTCCCTCCATATTTTAGTTAAGTCTTTCAAACTCAAATTCAGCAAATGTCCATTCTTTTTTTTAAATTAGATTCACAGTATATAATTAAAAAACTTCATAACATAAATAAATATAACATAACATTCATAATATAGATAAATATCTCAGAGCATTATTATTTTTTTAATTCCATGTCTAACTTATAAGAAAATTTCTAATTACTGCCCAATTTTGCTTCTCTCAGTTCGTGCCAGATACTTTAAAAGTCAAAGTTCTTATTTCTTTTTGTCTAATGTAGATTTTTATATTATGATATATTATATTTCATTACTTTCTTTTTGTCTTCAATTTTAAAGATGCACATATTTTGGTCAGTGTCCCATTTAGTATTTTAACTAAGAACTAATGTTGTATTGATACGTTACAAATCATTGATAAGCATTAAAAAAAACAAACATTGAAGATATGTAAACCTTAAAAGTGAACTGATATTTTAATTGAGGTACAAAATTTAATAATTGCAATAAAAACGTACATAAAACCAAACACAACAGGAAAGAATAACACAAAATTCTATAGTTACCGTAAAGAGATAATTTTAGAAAAAAAAAACAAAGCTTTTATTTTTGTTCTCATATTTTTCTCTTTATTCTTTCTTTTAATATGTCCAATTTTTATTGATAAGTGAACTGTTGCATCTGTAAATTACTAGAATCTTTAACAATGAACAACTTTGAAAAAAAAAAAAAGGTTATATACACCAAAAGTCTTGAAAAAATTGCCATGGTGAATTAATTGAAATATGGTTTTCTCTCAAAGAACAAGTATAATATCAATATTATTGTCATTACTCTTTATTAATAGGTTGAACAGGAAATTGTGGAGAGCCATGATCGCCATGCCCATAGAAGAAGATTCTGTACTTAAATATTTAACATCTACACAGTAAACAATGCAAAATCAGAAATGAAGTAATTGCTTCTATTGAATCTTGAACTGAAACCCTGAACTTTGGGACCCAAGTTCAAGGTTCTTATTTTATTACTAATTTTCTGTTGTCTACCGCAGTATTTGAAGATCCAGGGTTGTGATAAACAAACAACAATAAAATAATAGTAAACTGGTAATAAAATTTAATTATACAATATAATAAAACTTATATTAAAAACTTACCATGCAACGAAATAGAAACTTGCCATAGAGAAAATATCAACCACAAAAATGCTTCATCTAAAAAAAATAATTCAATATTAAAAATTTGAGATATTCCCAAAAAGTTTAAGCACAAAAATAAATAACAAAATGATTTTGTTTTCAATGTTACTACTATTACTGAAGACATGCTTTAAATGCTTATTATATTTTAAGATGATCAGTTAATTCCTATGCAGAGTATAACAGAAACCTTTTATATAATGGTAAGACATTAGTGGTAATGTTGTCTTCATCTAACTAATGTCTTACTATTATGTGAGAGGTATTTCTACAACACTATATATATATATATATATATATATATATATATATATATGAATGTAATGAGAATGAAAATAATATATAAATTCTAATGTTCACAGCATTAATTCAAAAGAGGGCTCAATACCAAGAGTAGAGTAATAATTATTTATTATAATTTTGTTTTTTGAAAAATAAAAAATAAAAAAAACCATAGTGAGAAACAGCTTATGAAGACATGGAAAAGAGTAAAGAAAAGAGAAGGAAAGAAAAGAAAAGAAAGTAACAGAGTAAGACATTAGTATTTGTTGATAGCAGTTTGGGCAGTGAAGGAATGTTGAGGTGTTGAGACAGCAACCTGACTCAAAAAGTTTAAATCAAAGCAGAAGTGTTTGCTATATATATATATATATATATTATTACTTAAATGTTATTTTTAGTGGAAACCCATATTTGAGTAGATGCTCTATTTATTTATTAAAAAAACAGTATATTTATTTATTTTTGTATACCGATTACAATGGCTTCCCCTGCCAAAGGGGACACAGGTTCAAATCCTGTAGGAGTGTGCATATTTTTCTTTAATAAGATTTTTGAATATTCAGGTGGGTAGATGAAAATAAATAAATAAACGAAGCGTCTACTTAAATACGAGTATCAAATAAAAATAACGTTTAAGTAATAACAGCTGTCAGAATACTAAATCGAAATCCATCGCTTCTTTAGAAATTGCTTTGTTTACATTAGGATATGGAACTGAGTAAATACGAATGCTTTGAGAGTCTGAGAAACATTAGCATTTATAAGGTACAACAACACATTGCTTGGTCTAAAGCATGTCAGACCCAGTGACGATATTCAAGCCTGTAGATGAAAATAAATACATATACTGCTTAATAAATAAATGGAGTGTCTATTCAGATATGTGTATTCTCTAAAAATAACATTTAAGTAAAATAATCTGTCGTATTACTAAATAAAAATCCATCACTTTAGAAATTGCATATATATATATATATATATATATATATATATAAAAAGTAGGCATTGCAGGCAACAATCCTTATATATTATCGAAATAACACTACGAAATCATAAGACCCAGAAATATTAACCCGGCTGTAATCAGCTCCCGATATATGGCGATTGCATGGTGCATGAAACTCCACATCATACTATCAGGTATCATGTATTATATATATATATCCATCCCTTCTCTCTCTGTTACTCTTTTGTTATAATCTATATTTTTTTTTATATATATACTAAAATCCAAACCTCCTGTTTGCCTGCCAATTGCATTCCAGCCAAACTATAGAAATGTTATTTTCTTGTAGCAACCGTTTCAGTTTTATAATTTAGTCCTTTATAGATTTTCATTATTTTATCCTTTTTTTTCTTTTACTCTGTAACACAACCATAAACTATATTCTCAATGAAATATACCTAAGAAAAAAAACTGAAAACCTACTTTTCACCACAGCTACAAACCTGTATATTAATTTGTTTCTTGTTTAACTGCATTCAAACACTACTAATCTTAATATGTATCCCTTCTTTCCAGAAAATCTTACCTGTACATAGTTATTCGAAGGGAATCTTAATCTAAAATAAACCATTAACAAAATCCATGGTTTTGTTTTAAATCTGATCACTTTTAAATGTTTTAGAGGAAGCTATCTCTCTGTAGATATGTGATTCCAATCATTTGTTATTAATCACCCTGAGTAAAAATATCCTTGTGGATCATAAAATGGCTTCCATAATCAATTCTTTTTTTAATTCATCTCTTTATGGTTTCTTTTAATATAAGATTACTGGCATACACACTGTTCTGTAACTTTCTTCTTAGAAAATTATTCCTAAAATTATATATGGTTGTTTTATTGATTGGTAGCAGGTCTCTATCCATTGCACTTAACAATACATAGCTAATAAAAGAAAAAGAAAAAAAATGGTAAATAATTAAAGGGAGATAATCTTTTTAATATAGTTTATCTTATTATCAATTAAGGTTCTTGGAAGATGAATTTTTTTTTTCTTTTTAAATGCTTAATGAAATGGTCTGGAAAAAAACATAAAATTGTCAATGCATTTTGAGCAAGAAATATTATGTTAGGAAGTATTTAGGCTGCGGCTGCTACTATTACTGCTGTTACTATAACAACAACA